GTGTTGGCCGCGCACGGCCTCTGCAAGGCACGGCGCGCTTCGCCGCTGCTAGCTGCTTGCGCGCGCCCGCCGGCGGCAACGCGCCGCTGGCGCCGAAAGCTTATGTTGTTTGGGGCGGTGCGGCCGCTGCGTGGATTGCATTGCACGGTGGGGTCCATGTCCTGATGCAGCCTTGTGGTGAGCACCAGGGGCGGGGCTCAGCGTGTTGCCCCCCCCTGCCTGGCTGGGACGGAGGGCCCGCTGTATAAACTGGATCGTGTTTACGACACGGCAGGAGCATACTTGATTGGCGGTAGAGAGAGACCCAGTGGGTATGTATTGGCAACCGCATTGCGGGGCAAAGTGTGGTCGGACTCTTGTGATACATGCGCCCCGGTGCGCATGCGAACGTTGGTGAGAAGCTGCCTTGTCTACTGCCTCGGGGACAATCAATGGGCATCGGGGTTGCTTGCGGGACCGTCATGCTAGGGTAACCTGCAGAATTCCATTGAGCCACGGGGCAAAGCAGGTTGGGCTGCTGAGAGGTGGTGGCTCACTGGACTGCGGCAGTTGATGCGTTCGAAGGGCGACGAGCTGTCGCTTTGACCCTCAACGAACCGTGCCGATGAAGCGGAGGGACATGTACTGTGCGTAAATCGAACTTTGATGCACTGTCTCCCGCGCCTTCATTTTGACCTGCCTGGTCGATACATTATGTAGATCACGCGTCAAACACCGCCGCGTTCCAGGGGCACCACTCAGGGTCCACAGTAGCCTTGAGCACCAACAGTGTGTACAATGGATTTGTCTGACCTTCCTGATGCGGCCGTGGCCACCGTTGTGAAGGCTCTGGCTGCCAGTGACCGCCCCATGCTGCGGCTTGCGTCCAAGCGATGCTGCGCTGCCGTCGACGCAAGCCTCGCCTTCCTCCGCTTTGCAGCTGTGTGTAAGGGTCTTCCCACATGCTTTTCACCAGCAGTCCTTGCAAGTATGGCGGCTCGGTTCCCGGCCGCTGCCCAGGTCCAGATCTGTTGTTCAAAACGCTGCCCTGGTTGCAGCACCGCCCTCGCCCGCTGCCTGGCCGCGCTGCCTGACGCCGCCTGGCCTGCCGTGACGGCGGTCTGGGATCCGTGGGGCATACCCGCCATGGCAGCGTGCCACCTTGCACGCCTGTGCCCCAAGCTTGAGGTGGTGGCGGTCGGCACCCCGGGGAGCCCAAGAGGCCCCGTGCCCGGCGCCGGAGAGCAGCTCGGGGCCGCGCTGCTGAGCCTTGAGGCCGTATGCGACACCCTCAAGTACCTCCGGGTCTCGATCAACCTCGCTGGCTTCGCCTGTGGCGCGACAGCAGGAGCCGCCTCCGCGCTGCGGCGGCTGAGCGCGCTCGAGCGCCTCGACCTCTCTTTGCAAGGGGGCTTCCCTCACCCTGCGGGCTCTGTCGCTGCACTGCTGCCCGGCGTCCTGCCCAGCATGCCGCGGCTGACTCACCTGCATTTGAAGCTCGGGCCTTTGACGCACGACCTCCTCGGCCACGTGCAGCTCGCCCCCGTCCTGACGCGGCTCAGGGAGCTGAGCGTCTGCGTCACCGGACCGCCCAAAGACGCAAGAGTCGCGCACCTGATTGGCTCTGCGGCACCGCTTGCCTCCCTGACACGCCTCCACATCGGCACTGAGTGAGTGTGCGTGCGTGCGTGCGTGCGTGTGTGTGTGTTTGTGTGTGCATGCATGCATGTGTGTTTGTGTGTGTGTGTGTGTGTGTGCGTGTATGTTTGCGTGCGCGTGCGTGCGCGCGCGTGTGTGTGTGTGTATGTGTGTGTGTGTATGTGTGTGTGTATGTGTGCGTGTGCGCGCGCGCGCGTGTGTGTGTGTGAGCTCGCCCGCATGCTTGTGTGCGTTGCACTTTTTATTATGATGCGGGGCGTAATTGCGCTTCAACGCAACTGTCCCAAGGAAACCCTGCTCCCATTGCGCAGCACACGCGTCCTAGGTGACCTGGCTGGCCAGCGCGGCCCTCTTGCACACCGGCCCCGCTAATTCCTCCACCCATGCACATGCGCCCATTCAATCCCACTGCAGCAGGGGCAATTTGCAACAACCCATCTGGATCTGTTTGCCGGGCCATGACGTGCATACCATCGCCGCTGCGTGTCTCCAGCTGCTTGATCTGGACCTGGACCACTGCAACCTCGAGGGCCCGACGGCCGCGGTGTTTACGGCCCTGACAAGGCTCAGGCTGGCGTCCTGCCTCGCTGGAGGCTCACTCTGGGGGCTGCACCTAAGCAGGGTGGCCCCCTGCCTGGCGGAGCTGCAGTGTGACGCGGGGAACAATCTGGACTGCATCGAACTATTCACGGGCCATGAGTATGTGCGGGACTTTGTGTGCGTCGACAATGACCGTGGCAACATGTTCGACCCCAACGATGATGCCGCGGGGGACTTCCTGTGCTCGGCGCTCGACTTCCCTCAGCTTTCGCGGCTCACCTGGGTCCTGGGCGGCAGCGGTGCCGCCGGGGGCGGTGCCGGTGCCGATGATGTCGATCGCAACGAGCCGCACCGTCTTTTGAGGGCGATATGCCTGCTGTCGCGCTGCTCTATGCTGACGTCCCTCTCCATCAGCACGCCGCGGTTCCGTCTGCCCGCACAACAGCTGGTGGCTTGCATCGGTGCGGCGGTGGGAGACACGCTCATGGACCTGACCCTGCTCGACTGTGCGTTCCCCACAGACACCGCCGATGCGAGCCGGGCCCTGTGCTCCCTCCCAACTCTCTGCAAGCTTCGCGCGCTCACAGTTCACCTCCCTTGGCCGTTTTTCCATGGGGGTGCTGGGAGCGCCCATGATCGGGTGCCCTCACTCGAAGAGGTCGTGCGCGCTCTTGTCAGGCCCCTTCCGTGGCTGCGGAAGGCTGTGCCGCTCAAAACGATCACCCTCTGCTGCACGCGCCACCGGCGGGAGCGCCTGGTCCAGCCTTTCAGCACGGTGTGGTGTGGCGAGCTGTGCGCGGCCAACAGGGGCCTGAGCATCGTGCTGACGTGACTTGACTGCACCGATGGCTGCACTGTTCACGATCCTCATGTTTAATATTACGTACAATGCAGAGGTCAGGAGCCGAGTCCAGTGCTGGTGGCAAGATTTGTAACAACGTGCTTTGAAGCCGAGTGCGTGGGTGGGCTGCCTACGTCAGGCCTTGTCATTCACAACTTGCAAGCTGAGCATGCAGGCAGCCGCTTTCACCCTGACAAGGGCCTCAATTGTTTGAACAACAGCATAGCAGCCGCAGAATGTTTGGGCGCCTGTCTGCTGGGCTCGATGTACATTCACAAGGAGGCTCCAAGCGCACTCCTTTGTCACATGCTCAAGCCAGCAACGAACCTGCAAGCAGCAGGCCACCCTTGTATGTGATAGGGGTGTTGGAAATATCGTACATTACCCAAACGTGACACACAACACCAGGAGCGCGCGTGAGGCCTCTGCAACCGGGGGGGGGGGCTAAGGCATTGGCCCCATTATGGACAAGGGAGGATCAAAAGGCCATAGGCGCTTGTGATGAGACAGCAGGCGCATGCATGACCAACCGACGCTGGCAGCGTGGTGCGGGCCCGATTTGGCTTGTGGCGCAGTTGACTGTCAGTTCTTTGGCAGGGCGGCCTTAGAGTTCCAGTCCAGGAGCTCCCCGTCGGAGCTGAAGCTGCCGCTGGGAACATTGTCTTCTGATGCCAAGAGGATGGAGCGGGCCCCTTGCTGCGAGGTGCGGGGCGGCTCGATACCCAACTTCTTGGCGGAGGTGTTGCCCATATCCGTGGCACTGCAGTTGTTGAGGCAAGCAGGCGGCAAGGGTGGAGGGTTGGCGTGTTGTAAGTGAGGTGCAGGCACGGGTTAGGGGCGCTCCTTGCTGTCCTGCCCTCCGCCCTTCATGGAAAGAAGGGCTGCATCGGCATCTCCTGGCAAAGAACTGAAAAATTCTTGTCTTGAAACTAAAGCCCTGCACCAGAGACATATGCAGACCAGCGATTTGCTCATGCAGCTCATTTGGCATTTGATGGTGCCTGTGCAAAATTGAGGCAGGGGCCTCAATTGAGGCCCCTGCCTGCAAACACCCACCACC